AAAAAAAAAAAAAAAAAAAAATGGATACCACGTTTAAACTTAAACTTTACAATGTGCTTTCTGAGGCAAGAATAAATGTTTGGGATTCAAAGTCGACAATCATCTATAGACAATGTCTGATTTGGTCAAAATAGGAGGAAAAAAAAGAATCTGTTTACAGAACAGGATTGGAAGTGAAAATAGAAAAGAACCATAAAATGAACTGGTACAGTAAAATAATCATAGAATTTTGTTCTTTCCCTGTTTCATTTGTCCACTTTTTTAATTTTTATCAATTTTATTAGTATTTCTTATTTTATTCACCAATAATAAAGTGTATATAAATTATATTTTCTTATAGTTGGGAGGAGGTAAAAGGAATACCTTTTTTTTACTTCCAGTAATATAATTAAAAAGAAATTGAAAGGCATATCATTTAGATTATACATACACATTTTTTAAACTACTGTATTTAATTACCTTGAACCTCAATTCTATACTCCATAGTATCTAAGTACTTCATTTTTTTTTCTTCAGTCTTCTACTATCTTTGATGCATTTTCTATAATGCTATGTTGGGCTCTTTGGGAAATAGCTTCTGGTATGCAGTTTAACATAAAGAATGTTTTTAAGAATCTTTGAGATTAACACTCAGAAGGGAGGGGGAGGAAGGATTGAGCAGAGGAAGAAGTTGAGCAGTAATCCAAACTCAACAGCCACCTGTGGGAGCACTTTGGAGACAGACTGGACCTTCAGAGTTGTTCTAAACTGGGCTAAGATAGTTGGCCTTTATACCTTTGCACAGATCAGTCACTGGATGAGGGCCATTGCAGGAATGAGTGTGACATTGTGCAAGGTGGCTCTCTGCAGCTAAGTCAATCGTTTGAAAGCACTGACTGTTCAGAGCTGTCAGGCAACATCACTCTCCCACCAGCTGAGGCAGTAAGTCCTTCATTGAAAAGAACCTCAGGATTGGATCACCATGTCCATTAGATAGAAGAATTAATATCCTCATGAGTTTATCTCACCTTACTGTAAAAGATGTTCTAATAATCTATGAAAAATTTTAACATTGGGATCATTTCAATTACTAGAAGAAGGATGTCATATTTAAAAATTTTATTGATGAAACACTATTTCATGAAGGAAATAATCATCCACTAATTTAAATTTTTAGTTTTAAGATACCCAATCTGTTCCCATGTTGACTTTGCTGGAGACAGAGTTCACCTCTATGTATAAATGCCTTCTGAAATTTTGAGTGCTAAATGATTTTCTACATTGGTGGATGTTGACCTGAACTTTCTTTTTTCTATATACTTTAAGTTCTGGGATACATGTGCAGAACGCGCAGGTTTGTTACACAGGTATACATGTGCTATGGTGGTTTGCTGCACCCATCAACCCATCATCTACATTAGGTATTTCTCCTAATGCTTTCCCTCCCCTACCCCCACCCCCGACAGGCCCCAGTGTGTGATGTTCCCCTCCCTGTGTCCATGTGTTCTCATTGTTCAACTCCCACTTATGAGTGAGAACATGTGGTGTTCGGTTTTCTGTTCCTGTGCTAATTTGCTGAGAATGATGGTTTCCAGCCTCATCCATGTCCCTGCAAAGGACATGAACTCATTCTTTTTTATGGTCACATTTTCTTTATCCAGTCTATCGTTGATGGGCATTTGGGTTGGTTCCAGGTCTTTGTTATTGTGAACAGTGCTGCAATAAACATACGTGTGCATGTGTCTTTATAGTAGAATGATTTATAATCCTTTCGGTATATACCTAGTAATGGGATTGCTGGGTC